GCGCATGTGTGCCTAAGCTCGTGTGGGTTTTATTTATTAATTGTTTAGTAGTTAGAATTATCTCTGTTTGTTCATATGTTAGAGTACGCAGCCATGTTGAGATCTTATTTTTACATTTCCATTTTGTTTTTTTATACACATTATATAATTTATTTGCATCATTATACAGCCTGGGTCCTTGATAGCAGATGAATTTTAGAAGAAATAAATTGTTTTGTTTGGCATACTGAATAGTGCCTTCTATTGTCTGCATTAGCATGTTCAGGGTTGTATGGCATTTGTGCGGGTTGTTTCAACAATATAGCTAAAATAAAGAGCTGCCTGACTGATAGTACCTCGGCATCCTGGTATAGGGTAACCGTTGAGTATCATCGTAGTTTGAAAAAACTCACCTTCAATATCAATGTTTGTGCCCTTTCTAGTTGCAACAAATTACTTTTTGCAGCACCACCCCAAGTTGAAATGCCATATGCTATTACCGATTGACCCAGTGCTAGGTAGACCAATTTGAATAATGTTTTTACCCAAGACATGTAGAAGATTCTTAAAAATATATGTCTTTTTCTGTACTTTTTGTGTTAGGTTCGATATGTGATCTTTGAACGAGAGATGGTCATCAATGATAATGCCTAGGTACTTAGTATGTGAGGCTTTTTCAATGAGCGAGCTAGCACAGGTAGTGGAGCTCCAATTAGAACAGGAGTGCGCAACTATGTTTGGGACTCTGGCTAAAGGAATGGGACCTCTGATAGAATAGGTATTTGGTAGGGAATTTGGTTTTGTCAATATTCAGGGACAGAGTATTCACGGCTAGCCATTTTATAACGGTATTGAATCCCTCTTGGGCACAATCAAAAACCCCTTCCCATGTGTCGTCGTAAAACGTCAGAATTGTGTCATCTGCGTATGATACGATGTTGCAATTTCTTAATTTCATCTGACAAGTCGTTTACGTAACATAAGAAGAGGGTAGGTCAGATAATGCTACCTTGAGGAACCCCGAAAGTAATACCACACTCCCGACTCAGAACAGAAGCAATCCTTACTTGTTGAGTTATATCTGTCAGATAGCTCTTCACAAGATTGAGCTGTGTTCCCCTTATACCCATTGTTTCAAGTTTCCCCGTAAGTTTTGGGAAAGAGACTGTGTCAAACGCTTTTGCAAGATCTAGAAATATAGTTAGACACTTCTTTTTAGGATCCAATTTTTTTTATAATGGAGTCCGTGAAACAGTGGAGAGCATCATCCGCCAATTTACCTAGTCGAGAACCGAATTGTGACTCCGAGAGGATATTTTTTGTTTCTAGATAATTAGTGAGTCTTTTGTTGATTATTTTTTCAAATATTTTAGACGTAGCTGGTAATATTGGTCTATAGTTGATTACACAGTCTCTTTTCCCGTTTTTGTGGATGGGTACAACAATTGATTTTTTTAACGCACGAGGAAGTACACCAGTACTCAGGGATTTATTAATTAAATAAGTTAGTGGAGGTACTATTGCTTCTTTTATAGTTTTTAGGGTGTGAGAGCAAATATTGTCCCAGCCAGCTGCGCTGTCGGATTTCAGAGACACTATTGTTTTTTCTACCTCTTCACAAGTAGTGCCCAAGAGAGCATTCGCAAAAGAGTTGGGCATGATGCAATTCTCATCCAGCTAGGTGACAGCATGAACATCATCGGCGTTTTCCCGACGTTTCCCCGATACTCCCATTACATCTAGAGAAAAATACCTTTTAACTTCCTCGTGCAGGTAATCCACACAGCTTTCAGTAGTTGTTACAAACAAGCGCGACATCCTCGATGCTTGGCGGAACCTTGGCTGGCGCACTCTACCATGACGGCACCAACTGAGTGGGTAAGTGTAGCGGACGGCTCATGTACTTTACCTAACTGCACTTGAATTGGATACATCAGATGGTAATTATCTTGTCCTATTAACATTTTAGGTCTTTTATCGAAATAACACAAATTATCCTGAGTATTTAATAAACTAGCATAATTACTGCAGTTAATAATAGGCAAATTTTGTACAGGTAAGTTTAGTTCATATACACTGCGCGCGCGTATGTTATAAATCTTATTTGTCCTTACCAGAAAGCTGCACCGTCATAACCGTTATATCACAAACCAGTTTGTTCTCGATCCATGCACCGCGGACGTGCATAGTTTCCCGGCGGCCGCGCAGTCCAGCGCGCTCCGCTTAGCTGGAGCTTATTAGCGTCACAGTGGAACCATCATCGAGCAGCGCACTCGAATTGATAACACCGTTTGGTCCGTATATACGTATCGGCACCACTTTTAATAACACTTTACATTCACTTTCACTATCACGGATATGCGTAATAACTTCGAAAGACGACGACGCGGGCGGCGGCGATGCCAGCGGCGATGCCAGCGGCGGCAGGGTTAGGGGGAGGTCCTGTGCGCCAGAGCAAGTTTCGCCGCTCTCGGCGTTGCGTCCGCTGACATAATGAAGTTTATGATGCGCCTGTCCACATTTTTCCTTATCGCATGGGGGTGCAGTACATATTTGCCGGTCGAAGTGTGACAGTAAACATTTAAAACATAGGCCGCAGCGTTTAACGTATTGCTATCTGACCTTATTCAATGACTTCTTGAATTTTTTACAATCCGTTAACTTATGCTTCGATACACGGCAAAATAGACACTTATCACTTTGCTCTGTTTGTTGTAACCAGGATAAGTGTTTGTCTTTGATCCTATTTACCGGAGAGATGTGACAATCGAAAGATATTAGTAATACGGTGACGGGCAGTTTAAGTACGTTTCTAATAAACCAGTCTGCCGTTAGCTTGAGCCTTTCATTGACGTTCCATTTATAATTTAAAATCTTGTCACATGCAACGTTTTTACACTATAATAATATGTACGGGAATAAGAAGGTATCGTCGATGCAGGAGTAAAACAGTGTAACTTTACTTACCTTGTATCTTTTAATGTGTTGTTCCGTTATGTAGATTAATGAAATTCTTGTTGTTGCAGAATTGAATATTCCAGGTAATTATATGACTGACCTAAATAGCATTGAAGAGGCCATAAAAGAAGCTTTCAAATTGGCTGATTTCGCTAAAAAATGCGGTGATACAAAAGAAATTTTCCAGGCAGCAACTGAGAGTATTTGCCAATACGGACTGAACGTACGTAATTTTGTCCTATTGCTTACCAAAACAGAGTAGTAAAGGAGAGATATTAGCTACATATAATATTTCACAATTATGACACCTCTACGCTGCTTCTTTTAAAGACATCAGCAAGTATATTTGTATTATGATTAAAATACTTAGTAGCAGTAGAGCTCCTTTTGTATGTTTCTGTAACTGTGAAATTACAGACAACAGACTTGTCAACTTATGTCTCAGGGTGACGGGCGCAATATCAGTGCCATTAAAATCTTTGTGATTTAAAGCTATGAGTGGGACAGTAACTGAGCATCAATTCAAAAAAAAATTTTTAATACAGTGAATAGCGACATCGCTCGCCAGGACTGGTAGCTGTAAAGGTACTAACTGGGTGATAAATCTGTAATAGATTTCTCATAGATGGTGCTACACCTGTGGTTACGACCAATCTGGATATGGCATCGGCAATAAAGTAAATGACCTTGTAGCGGAATGATTGGAGGCGCAATATCTATCTTTCAATCTGGAATGTTATCCAAAAATAAGTTCTAAGGATTTATGACAAGACAAACTCGAATTATTTCCCATAAAGGTATATCTTGAAGTATTCCACGGCCTATAACAATGCCAGTGCCACTTTTTCGGTTTGGCAATCGTTCCTTCGCAGTCCTTTAAGCACCTCTTGCTGCCATAAGCTATTACGACCATCAGAGTCTATTTGAGTGAGAACTGCGCCCAGACCAACAGAGCTGGCGTCTGCAATAACCTGTGTCCTATCTAATGGGTCATAATAACCTATGCACTTAATATTTGTTATTGAGCTTCTCGAACGCGGCTTCTTGTTCCTATGATGTGTTCCTATGATGTCCACATGTGAGTGTGTTCGGGCTGGGCAACAAATTCCACGTGTACGCTACCTAGGTGTCATGGAGGCCAGGACAGCATCCACCCAACTTTGAAATACAGTGGCTGCTCCCCAGCCCCCGCGGCGGATCTGTTGGCAGGCTCCGCCGCAATACCTAACGCGCATCCGCGTGGACTCTCCGAAGAGAGTTCCTTAGAGCGCTGAACGCACGGGCCAACCGCCCAAGTTCGGCCGCGGAGGACAGGACGAGCGGCAACGACACATCGACACGTCTCTTCCCCCGCAACCCTCCTCCCAGCGCGCATGCGCGCGGTCCCGCTCGGCCCAAACCAAGACCAAGAAGATCCCGCGCGGAATGCCCTCCTCGGGCCAGCCTGCCACCATCCGCCGGTCTCGTGGATTAGTCTTAGCTCCACTGTGGGATGAAATTGACCATGGCTACTGAGCCCTTACGGTACCTTCATATCTACGTTACGTCCAGTTAACTGTCATTGTAGTGCAAATCTTTACAGTGTTATCGTGATAAATTATTGTAATTGTAAAATTTTTGAATGTTACAGTAAAATAGTAATTAAATTCCTAATGAGTGTTCCTGTGAGTGATGTACACTTGACATACTTTAAAAAATACTTTTCCAGAAATAAAAGTTATTTTAATACATTTTCATGAAATTGCATTGTATAAATATTTATGAACATGATATGGATATAATATATATAAAAAAAACGCCACGGGTGTATACTTTTCACCGATTGTAGTTTGTTTTGCTTTTCTCTGAAATAAATAATAATAATAATAAAAATAACAACGTATTGTTCGCCGATTCTTGAACCTGAGTCCCTGACCCCAGCCAACTGTGCGATTGCCGGGAAATACCGTCCCTCGCATTTCAAAAATCAATCAAATTACAATCAAATCAATGATGATGATGATGATAATGATGATGATGATGATGATGATAATGATAATAATAATAATAACAATAATACAGTACTTAGGTCCGTAAAAGTGGTTCAAACCAGCTAACAAGAAGCTGCGAAGAATAAAATAAATAATAATAATAAAGAGTCTAAAATAGATATAATAATAATAGCGCACACACTCAACATAAATGTATATATATATAGGTATCTTTTTTTTTAAACGGTGTCATGATTTATGTTGCGGAGCAAAACACAAGGTTGAAATAGGTATCTGATATTGACATACATTCGAAAATGTGTTAACATTTACATTTCAACGGATGCGACTGTACTGTACTGTTCAACATTACATCAACAAATATTTCAATTCTCAACGAAAAGAGGTGAGGAGAGAATTGAAATTTTGCCATTAAAATTTCAATCCTCGTCTCGTCCCGTCTCGCCTCGCCGGTGGAAAACCACCTTAAAACACAAAAGTCCTTACCCGTTCAGTTGAGTTGTATTTTTATGCTCAAAAGAAGGTTACAAAATGATTGCTTTAACTGACTTCAAAATAGGAGGATTTTAAAGATTTATTTATTTATTTATCTAACAGGAAGATCAACAGCTTAAAACTAACTTAAATGAAAATAGTAACGACTGAGAGCCAATTATAGATCCTCACAAATAGAAATATAATAAAAAACACTTGGATACACTATTTAAGGTATAAAACAAAACATAACTTATTTATAAAATATAAAAAAGACAATTGCAGTTGTAACTCACTTTAAGTTAAAGAATTGCTCACTCAATGCTCTCCTTGCCGAAATCGCACTCGTATTAAAAAGATCCAGATCGAGTGAATTACACATAATGTTAAAATTGTTACTTGCACGCCACATAAACTCATTTTGCCTATAATTAGTACGAGCGGGTGGTAGAAACAAAAGTGAATTGTTTCTTAAAGATTTAGATGGAACTCTCAATGATATTTCTGATAATAAGTCTGGACAGTCAATTGAGCCCGATGCTATTTTTATTAAAAACATTAGGTCACTAATGTCACGACGCATTTGATGTGGTAAAAGATGATGCTTTTTACAGAGACTGTAATAATTTGCCGAATTGTAGCAGTCCAGTGTACGATAGCATAGAAAACAAATAAACTTTTTTTGTAAATTTTCAAGCCGCGAGATATAAATGTGATAACGTGGATTCCAAATTTGGCTGGCATACTCTAAAATGCTGCGGACAAAAGAGCAGTACAGTATTTTTATGGTCTTCACCTGTGTAAAATCTTTGGCACAGCGCATAATAAATCCTAGGGCCCTAGATGCCTTAGTCACTATACTGTCAATATGCGAGTCAAATAACAATTTACAGTCATGTAGAACTCCCAGATCTCGTACTGTAGATTGCTCTTTTAGTAATACACCTTTGAGAGAATAATTAAATGATACAGAGTGACGTTTGCGACTGAAAGTAACCAAACAACATTTTGATGGATTAAGATCCAGGTAATTAATTTGACAGTACGCTTCAATCGCTTCATCATGTGTTTTCACATGGGCAAATATTTTCATGTCATCCGCAAAGCAAAGTAGATTTGAGTGCTTAAAACATAGGTTGATGTCACTAATGAAAATAACAAATAATAGTGGGCCAAGCAGCGAACCTTGGGGAACACCACTGGGGACTTTAACCCAGCTAGATATGTGGTTACTGACTACTACTGCTTGGGACCTGCTATCAATGTACGACGAAAAGATTCTTTTTTTTGTTAGAAAGAGGATACCTCAGTATTAATCCCGTTTGAATTTGAAGAAAATAAATATTCCACGTCTAAGGGTGGCTACCTAGAGCATGAATGCAGTTTTGCGCACTTTCCGGTAACCGATTCTATTGAAACTTGGCAAATAAATACAATCCCACGAACTTTGAGGTCTTTTTTTATAAAAAGAGTCATAATTATGTTTACATTTATTTATAAAATATATACAATTTTAAAAATACCATAACATTTTTCCAATACAGCCTATATTACGTTGCATAGCACGACCGCTCCCGAGCGCAGTGTGTTACCTCAGGGGGTTATCTATGCCTCTGTGCGTTGAAAATAATCTCGGGATACTTAATATTATGTTTGTTTTCTTTCGTATATCCATATGCGAGTACCCATGTTATGTTATATTCGTAGCTTGCATTTTTGTATCGCATTGCGAATCAGTTTGCCTGTATACCTATTTTTTGTTTTGCTTAACATGCGGGACTAATTCCCTCAAAAAAAATGTGATATAAAGTAACAATAAATAAAAGAATATTGTAAACAAATAAATAAAATCTATTACGGATTATCAATGTTTATTATTATTATTTTAGTTTGTTTAACTTTCCGTTTTTACTTTACATAATCTTAGTACAAAGTACTAAAAAAAACAACCTCAAAAGTTCGTGGAATTACTTCTACTTGCTAAAAAATACCGGATTCATCTCCTAGTTCGCCACTATACGGGACGTAACACAGAAGATAATAAAAATACGGTGCTTACTGCTTAAGATTTATTGAGAGAGAAAAACGCCTTCAATTGGAGCACAGCAAAATCAACCATTAAAAAATTGTTCCTTTTAAAATTTTGGCGCTATTTATAAAAATAAGTTCATGCATGAGCAGCCACCATTAGAGGTAGAGAATATTTTCTTCTAAATTAAATTTGACCACTACAGAGGTACCCTATTTCCAACAAAAAAGAATCATCAAAATTGGTTTACAAAATGCCAGAGTTGTCGCGTAACACACATAAAAAATACGTAATACGTAAAACAAAACATACGTAAAGACATATAAAAACATACAGTCAAATTGAGAACCTCCTCCTTTGTTTGAAGTCGGTTAAAAATGTGCCAAAACTATCTGTAATTTAAGTACTTATATTTTTTCTTAGCTGTTTGTTTTTTAAAAATCTATTTCTTGAAATACTCGAAGAAACATAAAACACAATGTAACGTTCATTGGAAAAGCGCGCCAAGACGCTTGTAGGTGCCTCGGATTTAGTACAGGCAAAGCTGCCGCGAGTTGGTCTCCTCCGTAGCCTTGCCTGCTTATCGGTATTCTACAGGATATATCACGGAGAGTGTGCGATGGAATTCCATGATTTAATTCTACCTTCCCCTTTTTTTCATCGTGGGACTAGACGTAGGCTGGGGTTCCACAACGTAGGTTGTGGATATTTCATTTGTTCCTCCAACGCTATAACTTAAAGGGCGAGATTGAATAGGTATTATTTAGGTATGCCACATCGTCGACCTCATCGTCGCGTTCCATCAGGTGAGATGGAGGTCAAATGCGCACTTAGTCATTCAGCGATACGACACCCACTGCTGGGCATAGGCCTCTCTCGGCTTTCCGCGACCATAACCAGATCGTCGGTCCATCTGGTGGGGGGCCCACTCACTGAACGTCGTCCGATGCGCGGTCGCCATTGAAGAACCTTCCCGCCCCAACGGCCATCGGTTCTGCTAGCTATGTGCCCCGCCCACTGCCACTTCAGCTGAGTAATTCTTCGAGCTATGTCGGTTACCTTAGTTCTCCTACGGATTTCCTCATTTCTGATTCTGTCACGTAAATAAATAACAGATAAAGAAATACCGAGCATCGCTCTCTCCACTGCCCGCTGAGTAACCTTGAGCTTTCTTAAGAGGCCAATGCGCACTTATTTTCTTATAAAAAAAAACAACCATAAGTAATTCATTTTCGAAGAAAACTTTTGTTTGTAGATGAATTAGACTAAATGAAAAATTTGTAGATGGTACCGCTTGACGCGCACAACTATCTACTTTTTTTTTTACTTACTGTATTTAGATTTGAAAAGTATTTTTTTTTTTCCAGGGACTTTTTTACCATTTTATGGGCAGTATCTTAGTTGCAATCACCATTGATGCAGTATTAATAATTTCCTGTGCTTTCGAATTCATGTGATCATGATGAGCGAAAACGCAAACAAGATGTTGTACGCAAGAGCTACAAAATGTAATATTGTACTGTTTACAATAAATAATGTTGTTTTAAAATTTTATGAAATTATAAAATATTTTATTTACTATAAAGTTTTTCAATTCACACTCGGCAAATTAATGATAAATCAAGTACACGGCAAACAAGAACTGGCAGATTAATTTTCCGTTATTATCATTCACGGCTCTGGATACGAACAACACTTTGGAGGGGCTATGTTTAGCTATGTTTTGCATGACGCATTGCAGGATTGCGGGATTGCTTGCACGCAGCGACTACATATATAATCCTGCATTAGGCAGCGGACAGACGACAAGGCGGACTGCAAAGCAGATTCTTGAATTCTCCTTTTTATGTGCCTGAAACGGCCTTTCGGCTGGAATGATGATCATAACGAATTCACAAAGAGGTGAAAAATAATTGTTTCACCCATTTTGCTACCGGAAATAATACTTTATTTTCCAGTTCCAAATATACACAATAGAAGGATAGTGTACAGAATAGAAGGATTGATAAATCCAGGTTTTGTTTTTTCAATTTTCTGAGCATCTTCAGTGACTTTAACCCTTACTTAACTTACTTAGCTTTAATATATGTAGTAGACAATGTGGGTGATCTTACTGTAGCCACTTGCACTACGTTTCTAAGCGCTTAAATTATCACTCATGGAAAATTCACGGACTCGAAGTGATCCCCTAAACGAAGCTTCCCAACGTTTGAAATATCTTAATTAAAGTTGTTCTTCTTCTTCTTTTAAATGTTATGGCCCCATCGAAATAATCAATGATTTTGCCAATGTCAAGTAAAAATAACTATGTACGGTAGTTTAGTATTATTATAAAAATTATACAAAAAAATGGCGATTTCGCCATTGTCCTGTGAAAGTTCTTTTTCAATTAAAGTTGTTATTGTTGAGAAATTTTAATTACAGATGACATTTTGCTTTTATATCGGTGTTGCCAATTAATATTTCTTAACGCCGTAGACTGTATCGTAAGTATAGACTTTGCTTGTAATCTGCCATCTGTTGTCATCTTTTGGTATTATTGTTGGTCATATCCAATACCGCCGAAACAGCTATTCCTCGATGATGTTTGGCGGTTTTGACGGGAAGAAATTCGTTTATACAAGCGCAGAGTCTTTTGTGTCGTTTCTTTTTACTTTTGTACTGACTGAAGAAATAAACCATCCACAAGCGAATTACACTTTATTTAATACTAGTTTAATTTTGTGGGTAAAATACGTAGACATCGTTATTTTTACTTACCTTACGTCACGTGTTACGTCCTTACAAATTAATATGAAAGTTTAGATCGAACTCTAAAATATTTTTTTTGCGTGGACACAAAGTTCTTGATAGACGCCGACTCGAAATGACAGGCTTTTGGGGAAATCACTGTTTAAAAAAAAATTTTGACGACGCTCCCCTAAACTATCAAAAATCTGTCAAAGTTAATATATACAAAACAAACATTTATTTCGTAGCTCAAAACAGATTAAAATATCGATCGATTTAATTTATTTTATGACTCCTTAAGAAAGATGACCGCTTATATTATTTTGCCTGCTGCTTCTGCAAATTTAAAAGAATCATTGAAATACATGCCTGTTCACAACGTTTATACAAAAAAATAAATATAACAGACAATTTTAATCAAAAATTTTGAATATGAAAACTTTTAGCGCCCTTTCATTTAAAATTCCCGCCAAAGATCTATTATACTTGTTCCTATACTACTACAGTCCTAGTAGATTTTTTATTTTATGTACACAGATTAAACAAAAAGTTTTTATGCTAAAAAATCTGAAAGTATTTCGCAAAAACTTCAAGTATAGAAAACGAAACATTTGCAATTTAAGTAACTTAATTTTAGGAAATGAAACTAGTTTTCCAGATTTAAATCGCGTATATTTGTTTTTTTCAAACAAACCGACGTTACGGGCCCTTTACAGGTCCCATGGTCACGGTGGTTGTGTCAACTATGTGTAACAATCGCGAAAACCTAAGAACTCGATAACTTAATTTTACTATATTTATTTTGCGAATTCAAATTCAGCGGTATATTTAGAAATTGAAAGTGATTTATTTTATATCTAATACATCGTAGCTGTAATAACATTTTATTTCCATTGTGTTATCTAGGGAAGAATAGCTGGAAATCTGTTTAAAAAAAAAAACATAAAACCGCAAACTCCGTAAATATTGTGTTGTGAAGCGATATTTATTCATACAAGAAATAAATTATCGTTGTATCTACAGCCCGACTAAAAAGTCTAGAAATTAATAGGAGCGCCACTGTGGCTACTACAGCAACCCGGTATAGTACATCGCAACAATTTTGATACTTAGTGCCCGGATATACGTAGTATAATATGCAGTATACATATAGAAAGTATGTATGTGACCATTGTACCTGATTGACTACAGTGACAAAAATGTCGTAATATTTCAATCACATCAAATAAATCAGTTCTAAATTAATACTCTATTTCATGTCTAGGGTGGTATATGTCTAAACTAACTTTACTTTGAAAGAAAATAAAAAATCTCAAACCTCAATTTTTTTTCATATTGTATATCAAACCATCATCATATCAGCCAGAAGACATGGTCTGCGGAACCAAAGACATCAAATAATACATATTTGTATATCAAATAATACTTACTTTTTATAATCACACACAACAAACTCGCAGAAGTTGACAGTTCTTTTAATAAAATATGAAAAGCAGCAGTACTCAACTGAGTACAGCGGAAGCTAATAATTAACAAATATAATGATGATAATGAACGAATTATTATATTTATATTATCATCATGCAGGAATAATAAATAAAATGCATTAATTTTTAAAGAAAGTCTAATCTAAAAATTCTTCGTCTAAAAATTCAACATCTGAAAACTCTACATCAGATGGTTCAATGCTGCTGTCATCTTGCACATTGATTGTACTGTCAACATCTGATGATTCACTGCTGCTGTCATCCTGAACATTAATTATAATTTTTTCCATATCTTCATATAGAGTTTGGCTTCGTTGATAATATTCAAGTTCAATATTTTCCACATGTTCGCGTGATTTCTTCCAATCATCATTGGAAATTTCTTCGAATGCTTGTTCAGCTGTTTCCTAAAATTCAAACAGAAAATCATGATGATGACTTGTATGTTGTCTACATTTGTAGCAAAAAAAAGTAAAATGTATGTGATACCATATGTACCTTTATGTCAATCGAACCAACATTACGTGAGGCAATTTTATTTTTTGCGATACTCCAAATCAGTTCGATAGGGTTCAAGTCGCAATGGTAAGGGGGTAGTCTAACCACTGTGTGCCCATGTGAACCTAAAAGCTCATCGATCTCGTATTTGGGTTCTAGCTTGTGGCGCTTGACAAGCATAAGCAATTGAGGTTTTTTCAATGTGCTATCGAAACTGATTCCACTGCCGTTCAACCATGATTTTATATCCGCCAACTTTGTGGTGGACGTGGGTGCTTTGTTAATAGCCACAGAGTGGTATGGAGCATTATCCATTACCACTATCGATGAGTTCGGTAAATTGGGGATTAACTTCTCTTCCACCCACTTTTTAAATTTCTGTTGTTCATCTGCGAGCGATAATCTTCATTTTTATTTTTCATATTAAATATTAACAGTGCATTTGGGACAAAGCCTTTGCTGCTACCAGCATGAACAATAATGTATCTTTTGCCCTTGGATACTTTTTCTCTAACACCAGTGACATTAATGTATTGCCAGCATTTTTTTAATTTATAGGACTGATGAATGTAACTCTCATCCAAGTATACAATTTCTTTTTGCAATTCCTCTGGGAAACGTCTGTTATCCATTATGATTTTAAGATATTTTTCTCTTTTAGCTGCGATATATGGTTTTTCCATTAAGGCTGTGCGCTCTGATTGACATTTTTTATATTTAAAACCCAAAGAAATTAGGATCTTCCGCAGATGTTCACGGCCTCCTTGAAAACCCAAATCTTCCCTGACCACTGGTAGTAAGTTTTTTAAAGTTGATACCTGAAATTAAAACCATATATTACTAAATTTAATGTTGAGAACCGAAAAAATTACGTTAAAACTTAAATACACATTACACACCTGTTTTTTTACGGTGTAAAAGAATTGAATTTTTTGTCTAATAGCACGCAAGTCGAAATCGTCCAAATCTTTTCTTGGACGACCTTTTCGGTGCTTTCCTGGTGTAGAAAATACAGCATTATTGCGATGCCCTTCTTCTACGATTCTCCTTACTGTACTCACGGATTTACCTGAAAATTACACACAATACAAGTTAACAAAACTGTTATTTTAAATGTTAAAATATTAGATGGCAAAATTTTATGTATACCAATAAAAATATGAATAATATTATGTGCGACATTGAAAATGTCAAATTAGCTTGGGCGCGCTATAAATGCGTTTTGTAAACATAACCTTAAAAGGTTTCAATTTTTACGACAAATCAAGTACTAAAATACTATAAATTTAGTCTTTATAACAACGTAAGGTATTCTACAACAAATTATTGCACCAAAAAAATTATATTAAACCAGTAAAAACCTGTCATATCGGCGGTTCTTTGATAAACTTTGTCCAGCGGGGTAAGAAGTGTTTGAGCTTCGCTTTCCGCAAGACAACGTGTGTAAACTTTAAAAATTACTTCTCTAGTAGCACTTCGTATGGTTTTACTCATTTTCGGTCACTTTTAAATCACATAAAGCACTTATAATTCGCAAAAGAAGTAATTAACGAGTTGCCTTCGAAGATTTGACGTAACACTATACAAAGTGCTATTTTCAGCTCCTGTACTTTAATTTGTCAATTATAATTTTATAAACCATATCGCAAAAGCGCTCTTTTTAGTTCAGAAATTCTATTGTCTATGGTACTCGATAACGAACTGAAAAAAATCATTAAAATACTGTACACAGTAGTTTAATGAGTATTATAGTTCTGTACACTATAAGTTTTAAAACAATAACGTTGTAT